TACAATTTTCAGAATGTTACGAAAGTTTGAAGACAAGCCCTTTCAATCTACCTTTTATAGCAACACTGAGCAGCAAACACAACGCTTTCTATCCTAACCAACAATGTTTACACTCAGCTTCATTATAGAGGCGAAGAATCATGCAGAAAGGAGTGATCGAACTTGTTCACTCTAATCTATAAGCACCTTTGTACTTATATTGAATCTGGCCTCAAATAGCTCTTACCCAAGTTAACATTTTCTTATACAGGATAAACTGGCACAACCTGACTGTTAAAGTTTCTTCTTGGCAAGATGCCGGTCAATTCAATATGTAAATAAGCATCTCCCTTGCTAAATGGTGATTTTTTTTTTCTAGAACAAAGTAGTACTTTATGTTCTACCCAACATGGCAGCTACTTAATGGGACACTTCCTGACGGTTTGCGCGCGTAATCGTCATAGTTCCGCCACGCTCCCCTGTGTATACTTTGTTTTTGTCCAGCCCACGGACATAAAATTTATGTTCATCACATAAAAAAGGCAATAACAGACTTCTATATGTCTGAGAAGTTAGAGTGCCCGATTTACCTGGAAATTTGCTAAACACACCAGCAAAAAATCTCTGAAATAGCATCCCAAATATTAGACCAAAATTTTTTCGCGAAGTTATTGAATTTACAATTTCCAAATCTTAAGAATAAAAACGCTGAAAAAAGATTCGCAAATCATCTTTCAGATAATTTGTGGGTGCATTCACTTATAATGTATTCCTTTAAGTAAATCGGCTCTTTTTATGTTGTCAAATCTTCAGTCAGTACTTAAATATATTTTTATTATCATCAATAAATTTGACTCTATAAATTTTACATAATCGCTTGAGACCGACACGGGAGGAGGATACTCGGAAATACGCCAGATGTTGAGTTTCCGGAAACGTGTCTTTTTTTTTTTTTTTTTTTGTTCGCTGTTTGACAGTGTGAAACACCGACTTAAAGGGCATACCAAAAGGGACTCTGTGCTGACATGATAGATCGGAAGGCAAATACACGAAATGTGCAGAAAGAAAGAATTAATCATAACTAATAATTTTTTTTTCGTGTGCCTAAAAAAAGCGTCTTCACCTGTGTGCACAAAGAATGAGCAAACGCCAAATTAACAGAAAAAAAAAAAAAACGCGCATCAGAGATAGGTAGCGATCCCTTGCAATTGCTTGCGGTGAACAGAAAAGTCATTGAATATTTCAATACCTGGATCGTCAAAGCGATTGAACAGTGATTGCATGCGTGACAGGGGTTAAGATCTGCAGATGGTATTGACATAAAAAATAGAGTAATTCCAAGTTAAACAGGAGGGGACATGGATAGCAACGTAGGATAAAACCGAATCATCATCTGTAATTCCATTTACTATCTTGTGCAAAAAAATCGAGTCGCGTTCTGTTCTTCTGTCAGATAGTAGCCTCAGCAAGAACTTATCTAGAAGGAAGTTGTAACCAAAATAAAAGCGGCGCTGAAGATAGCGGTCGTAAACGATGCGTATTAAGCGTTTTTGCACATTTTCAATTTTTGTTGATTGCGTTTCTGACAAAGAATTCTAAGCTGCAGAACCGAATTCAAGCCTAAACCTAACTAGAGAGCAGAATAAACAAATAATACATGCAGGGTTTTTAAATTGCTTCGTGATGCGAGATGTCAGTACCAACATCTTTGTCGCACTGCCAACAATAGAGGACACATGCGAAGTAAACTTCAGTTCATTATCTATGCTCACGCCAAGGTCTCTTACAACAGAGATGCACAGAAATGAATGAATAGTATTTTTCTAAGTAATCCCAAACAAAGGCTGATATGCATGCCACGATATTTCTAATTATACATAAATAGCGCGAAGGAGAGACGAAGACTTTTAGAATCCTAATATAGGTCACATTTGGGCATCAGCTTGCATGAGCTCGAAGCTTCGCGAAATACTGCCTCGGGCGGCTAATTTTATATTCGGCTTTATGTGCACCTTGTTTTGAGCCCTCACTTAACAGCTCTCTGCTTTATCAGTCATACATTCTAACATTACATTAGGCCGCCGTATATTATGGCGAGACTGCTACATATACTGCACAACTTTATAATTGGTACATCCCTTGCTAGTGTTGCGACAATCGGATTCCACCAAAAAGCTGAACCGTTTAACATATGGCTTGCACGTGATGTCATCGCAATATATCACTCTAAAAAAAGTCTGTGCGTCTACTTCCCCGCACAACGCTCGGAGAACCAATCACCGCAGCTTACGGAGGCAACTCAGCGAATGACGATGCCGAAACACATGTTTAGACCAAAAAACGCAGTCTGAGTTATGACATTAAGCAATGCAAAACGTCACGTTTGCATTGCTTAATGTCACAATTAACTCAGACTGCGTTTTTCGGTCTACACATATGTTTCGGCATTGTCGTTCGCTGAGCTGCCTCCGTAAGTTGCGCTGACTGGCTCTCCGAGTGTTATGCGGGAAAGCAAATGCACGGGCATTTTTAGAGTGTATAGGCTGGTGGTTATTGCAATTAGTTCTTGCTGAGAAAATCAAATCCGGTAGTGCAAAATGCACACTGCAGAAGGTTCGCGCTCAGTGCAAGCCATGCATTTCAGAGACAAAGTAGTTTCCGGGGCCACCCTTTCTGGTCTATGCCGAGGATGTAGTGTAGAGGAACCTTTACAACACGGTATGTTCTCAAAAGTCCCCCCCCCCCCCCCCCCCCCGACCCCTTTATTTTTCTTTTTTCGTTGTTCCTTTCAAGAACACACCAGCATATGTTGGTGTGTAGAACAGACCAACATATGCCGAGTGACTCCCTCCTCTGTTTAGGGTGTTGATTCGACAATTATACTTGTGTCACTTGTTAACAGTAATCTTTCATTGCTTTTATTTGGAACCCAAGAACTGCGAAGTTTAAAAAAAATACGGAGATGGTCGAGGCTTGGTGAAGAACTTGAGAACGACACTCCTGTGTTGTTCCCACATAGAACGTATTGTCAACGAATTTTCGCGCGTTTCAGCGGGCGTAATCACGGCATTTCGCGGGCGCTTTTTTCACAGAATGGAAAAGGAGAAGGTCGCCAAACCACACACGGTGCTTTTCGTCGGCGTCTCCTCGGCGTTTGATGCAGAAAAGCGCGAGTAGGGCAGACTCGCGCTTTTCATGAAACGAGGCAAAATGTACCACTAAAACACCTCACCCGTTTATCCCAACCCCTTAGAACATCTACTTGGGTGGAGTGGACGCCCCCGGCACAGAGTACGCCGTGTGTACTGCACTGACCGCCTCGGGGAAGAGGACTGAGTGACGATGCCTTGGACGAAAGGCTTTGAAGAATAAAAATTAGTCTCTCTCTCTCTCTCTCTCCTTGCTTGATGACTCATTTATTTAAATACAAAATAAATGTACATAGAAAGCATCAAACCATAGACAAGCGGTAAATAAAAAATAGTTTTGATATGATTTTTGCGTAAAGGTTTGACTTAAATCATCGCAGTAAAACCGGTCTGATCTAAATCACGATTTGAATCCTTTTGATTTTTTTCTCCACCCTGCTTGGCATGCATTCGGCCTATGGACCAAGGCTCAACACCCGCTCCGATAAGAAGGCCTAAGTGCTGAATTTTCCTGCGTCACTAAAGAGGGCCACCGTAGGCCAGAGATTGGACACGGAGTCAGCGTTCGGCTGGAACTCGTTTACAATGAGTGAGGAGAACACGACCCTTAACCGAACGCTGACGCCCTAGTCGTATTTAATCTCTGACCTGTGGTGGCCTTCTTTAATGACGCAGCAAAGCACTTAGGCCTTCTTATCAGTGAGGTGTTGTATGCACTCTAAAACAAAGCCCATGCGTCTACACGTCTACACTTTCCCGCAAAACACTCGGAGAGCCAATCACCGCAACTTACGGAGGCAGCTCAGCGAATGACGATGCCGAAACATATGTTTAAACTAAAAAAAACGCAGTTTGAGTTGTGACATTAAGCAATGCAAGCGTGACGTTTTGCATTGCTTAATGTCACAACTCAGACTGCGTTTTTTGGTCTAAACATATGTTTCGACATCGTCATTTGTTGCGCTGCCTCCTTAAGTTGCGCTGATCGACTCTCCGAGTGTTGTGCGGGAAAGTAGACGATCGGGCTTTTTTTAGAATGTGGCCTGTGTCTAACGGTTTCGGTGAGGAGACTAGCTAAAACGAATAACAATGTCCTGCTCATTCCAACCAAAGCGCGTGGCTTTTAGCCTTTTATGAATAATGCCGAGGCATTACATAACGGTTCTGGTTGCGAGTTAAGGAAATAATCAGGGGGGTAAGGGCGGAGGGGGGGTTACGCTGCTGCACTTGCAAGCGCTTAGAGAAGATTATTGATGCACGTCCTGTAGGTTAAGGCCATCAAAAATTATTTCTGAGAAATATTTAGTGAAAGTAAGAAAATCGGTTTATGGAGTCCTAAAAGGAAGCGCCAAACATGTGCGTGCTTGTGTGTGCGCGCGTGTGTGTGTGTCTGTGTGTGGGTTGGCGTTCGTGCTTGTGCGCGTCAGTGTATGTGTGGGTTCGCGTGCATGCGTGCGTGCGTCCGTGCGTGTGCGTGTTTTGTGTGTGTAAAGTTTAACTAACATTGTGTTTGGTTGCCGATGAATGCTCGGCGTTTTTCGCGACGAAAACACGAAAGACCCCGCGTACTTCGGACGCATTTCATAACCATGAAAGCGGTATGACAGCTAGCGCAACGGCGGTATCATAAATGATCACTGCCGTGGCGATGACCCGAGTGGCGACACAGACGACGCTCTCCCTGCACCTGCGCGTATCGATAAAAGATGTCTAGTCGACGTCACGTAGGCACGTCGGGAATGCGAGCTGGCGAAGAATCGAGAGAGATTTCGAAAAGAACATTCCTGCGTCAGACACAATAGACGCGATTGACATCTGTGGAGTTTGACGCACTACCACTGCCTGAGGAAACCTGCTTACGGCTCCCCTTAAGAATGCAGACGTCACTGTTCGGAATGCCACCCGCCGTTTCTTTCCTTTCACAACGACGAGTACGACGCGCGCAGTAACGGCAAGTTCCGAAGCGACGATGGCCGACGCTCCTCGTCGTGGCAGGGAGCACAACTCTTTGTCTCGCTCAAGCCTGCAGTGGGTAGGCTCGACCCCAGTGCTTTTCCCGCGGCCGGTGGATGCGACGCAATTGTTCGACAATCCATCTTGGCGCCGCATCGCAGGGACGACCCGGGACCTTGAAGCGTCATCCGCGTACGGGGACGACCATCGTACGTATGCCCGCGATGACTCGGTGATCTTGGCCCATATATGGTGCGCTGAGCGTGCGTCACAGACTGCCGCACGCGAGTTTGCAGCGGGACTCCCCGCGTTGCGACACTAGCGCGCGCGAGATGTTTTTCTCGCACCCACGCCTCAATTTGTGGTTGATGAACACACCCGTGGCGCAACCCGCGTGTCACGGTTGGGGGCTGCACTGGCTACTGGTCTCGGCTCGCGGGGAGGGGCGAGTCTGACTTCAAGGTCGTCCGTCACCTGTGCGGTTAACTGTAGCGGACCAACTGCGCCTTCGCCGATCTTTGTGGCGGGCTTAGTCTCGATTGCCTCATGCGGTGGGACGTTTAATTGGAGGCGAGTAGGATGACGGCTCGTGACTTCGCGAAGCTTCTAGAACTGGAGCACGCTCTGAAATCTGAGACGGGAATCGATAGACGTTCGACCTCGGTCGTAGGATCGTGTCGACCGAATTAGAGAGTGCAACTTTGGAACCTACTACGCTTTAGCCTTCGTATGTTTCTTTTTTTTTTTTTTTACATTTTATAGTAAATTTTTATTTTTTTAAACACACCGTTCCTCAGAGTCCGAAGGAGCCCGGGAGTTGGGACGCCGGTCCGTGGCCGGGGCGCCAGTCCGACTGAACCCGAGTCCGACGACCTCCGGTGGCGGTGAGGGCGGTTCGAGCACGCGGCGCCCAGAAGCAGCGGCGGGCTCCGTCCCTCGGGGCATGTTTTTGGGTCAGGGCTCGCCCACGGGCTGTGACACGGTCAAGGAGCGCGCGCGCGTGGCGCTCCCACGCAGCGCCGGGGGCGTCGGCGCCCTTGAAAAGCGGCCGTCGTGCGCGACGAGGCTCAGAGCGTCGCCAGCAGTCATGTCGGTGTCGGCGATCCACGCGAGCCTGCAGCCCTCGTACCGGCTGCCCATGGTCCAGGGCTTTCAGGAGCAGTCCCTGGAGAGCGTGTTCCAGCGCAACAAGAACCCCAACGTCAGCGACCTGATCATCTTGGCCGCCGAGGTGGGCCTGCCCGTCGAAGCGGTCAAGGTGAGTTTTGTTTGGGGTCGGCGCCGCCGCTACGATTCGCCTTTTTTTTTTTTTTTACGGCTTAAAAGAGGCATTGAGTCTTAAACATGGCACGATGACTCGTCGCTGGATGCTGACGTTATACAGCCAGCGTCATCGGAGTGTGAGATGTTGCAGAAAAACGTGTCTGTCGTACCATTAACGTTGCGCGTCGTAGAAACCCGCCCACGTGCAAGCTCCGTATAATGTTTACAAACGGGCGTCGTGAGTATTAAAGAGCACGCCCTTCGCAAGTTGCCTTTCTAAACTTCGCTCAGTGCGCTTTTGCATAGACTCGAGCCGTTTGCTTCGTAAACAGTGTGGGTGTAACTTTTTTGTTTTTAATTATATTTCCGTTTACAATTATCAGCATGGGGGGAGGGGTCTTTCCATTAACCGGAGGTGGACAAATTAATTCCAATGCACTACTTCATTTCCCGAAAACCACTGCAAATTAATTGGTTTCCATTACAAATTACCCAAAAGGTACGTAATTAATAACTATAACTACACGTGACTAACAAGTGTTTACCATAGCTCAGAAGAAAATATCTAGAATTCCGTTTCCAGAAAATAAAATGTGGCTACAGGCCGGAGTATAGCTGTTTCATCTGAAATAATTGGGGAAGACACTGACGCGAACGAAGGGGGGGGGGGGGGGGGGGGGAGGGGGGGGGGGGGATTAGGTTAGGTCTGCCGTTGCAATAAAAGACCAACTTCGGTGATCGCCTTCCTAGAAAACCAAGTTCAGCACTAAGTTAACCTTTTTCTCTTATCATGGACACTGCACATCTTTTTCTTGATTTTCTGAGTAGCTCAACCTGTCGAGCATGCGAGGCATAGGTGCTGATGATGCTTGCGGTGCTACGACACGGCAGATTCGCTCGCCTATTGGCGAGTGTAGCAGGTGAACACATGAAAGGCTCGCAAGCAGGGTAGAAAACAAATCTAATAAATCAGATATATTTTATTTAAATCGGATGAGTTTGATGTAAATCACAGAAGCTAGAAAATAGTGATTCTTTGCCATATGTATTTTTCGACATAGCAGAATGATTGATCAATTCGTCCGATCACTGATAACAACGCGGAGGAAAGAATTACTGCGGATGTAAAGGACAGTTTAATTAACTTTTGATTACTATAATCCTTGCCATACTAGAACGAAAACAGCTTGATAGGTTTAATCGGTTAAAAGGTTTTTTTTTTTTTTTTTCATGTTCCGACTTGATTGCAACAGGGCCTTACTTTTCTAGTTTCCGTTTCTTTCTTTTACATTCTGATTTTGTTGCAAAATGACGTTATGTAGCAGACGAATGAAGTGGAAGGTAGAAAAACAAAAAAGCTTTATATAAGGTTGAACACGAGCAAAATGAAATGCTCACCTCAGCCCTTCGTTTTGGCTGTGTTCAACCTTTTCTGAATCTATTTTTTTTTTTGTTTTGTGATTCTTTGATATAAATATTACACAAATGCGCGTAGTATCAAATGATAGACAAGGCGGAATAAAAGATATTTTCGGGATTATTTTCCAGAATAGGTTTGATTTAAATCAATCAATCAATTTAAACCTGCACTGTCGGGCAATCGGCGCTTCAAATAACGTCGCTGCTTGTGGGAAGACCGAAGGGCTCCTCATATCTCGGAACCTTAGGTTGGATTGCAGTGTGATTATAAGCGAATTGATATAAATTACTAAAACAAAAGGGAAGCAAACAACGCAACTAAAACAGATGACTCATTTTTTTTTTGTCGATTTATTTTTAGTGACACGTACAGGAAAGTGATTCGAAAATTTAAAGTTCGTGCGAGCAATTCTATGTCACGAGGCTCTGCAACGTGCCTCGACAATTTTCTGTTAATATCTTAATATTTTAATCGCGCTTCCAGTCCGGAATTAATCAAGATCCCACGCATGAAGGAGGACCCAGAGTACTTGTTCTCGATGGTTTGTTTTGAGTGTGCGCGTGAGTGAGCGCAACGTGCAAGCCAAAGAGGTCCAAAATCGAGTGCTTGCTTAGTAGCTGACGCCACAACGCCGAACATGAGTTTCTTTATCTAGGTGGCTTTCCCTAGCGATGTGAAGGTACGACGAGGGGCGAGCGGCAATCTCAAGTGCGTAATTCTCCCGAACATTCCAGTCCTTTTACTTGGCGCAGCAAAATACAAAACGGGCGCCCTCGCTCGTATGTGTACATCCGCGCGAAGCTGGCGCGTAGCCAATCGCTCTCTCGCGGCTAAGCCAACTACGAGGGCGACATATAATTGACGCACCTCCCAGCACGCCCAAAAGGAATCCCATTCCTGCGAAGCATTCGGTAACGCCATGGCGGGAAAGCATCCGCTGCCAGACGCTCATTTGTGGGGTCCGAATCCCCGCGCGTGCTTCCGAAGAAAGACGCTTGACGTGGCCGTGCATTGGCGTCTGGTCGTTCGAATGTCCAACTGACTGCCGGCAGCTTCAGAAACGAAACGCAAAACGTGGCAAGGCTAGAGCATATTGTTATCGCTCTTCTTCAGCTAACGAGATTGCGGCTGGCCACCGAAAAACCAATCAGAAAGCGAGAAGCGCAAACATATTAGGCCGCGCCCTGGGCTTCTTAAGTTGTCTGCGACGGCTTTCCGGGGCTTATCACCAACACCACCTAAATAACAAAGCCGTCGTGCTAAATGAGATGGCGTCATCAGAGAAGGCCAACAACGCTGGACACAGATTGGAAACGTGCTGCGTCAGCACTCGGCTTCGAGTCAAGTCTGGGCCGAACGTTGACGCAGTCGCCGTGTCCAATCTGTGACCAGCCTTGGCCTTCGCTGGTGACGTCATCTCTATCAGCCCTACGCTATGTTATCTAGGAGGCGTTGTTATCACCCAGGCGAAAAATGCTGCGTCACTAAGCTGTGAACGCGTGAGCGGCATCTATTATTTTTACGAAGAAAGATATACTGGCGCACTCTCGAAAAACAATCCACAGGACCACGGACCACAAAGATGGCAGCGCGCAGGAGGCGACCATTGGAATTGGCTATACTTTGCTTCACTTAGACGAAGCCGACGCTGCGAGTTCATAGAATCGAACAAACAGCCTAAAAAGCGCAAGTCACTCGACGTTTCTCTTTATGATTGGTTCAGCGGTGATGGGACACGACGGACGAACACCATGTTGTTGCGCATTTGATTGGTCCCATCAGCTATGGCGTCGGCTGCGTCCGGACATATGGTGAAACGCAGTATCGGCGACGTGCGCGACCAAAAGCGTCATTGGCGTTCCACGATGGGTCAAACGGTCACTATGACGTCTTTAGTACAGGATGAGTTCTGCTCTCACGGACGGAAAGAAGAGCAAAGTCAGACTCTCAACATTGACGGTGTTGATTCAGGAACGTGATCACCAGGCTTCAACCGCACTTTTTACATACCAACAAACTTGTCGCTCGCTACTATAAATCTCGGTCGTGATTACGTCAGTGACAGGAACCATGAGAGGGCGCCACCGAAACATTTGGTCGCCAATAGCCGGACGCGTGTCGAAGATGCTCCCATTGTTTTTCTGACTTCCCTGCTCCTCATGCAGGTGTGGTTTGAGCACCGTCTGGCCCGCTGGAGACAGTCCCAGGGCCTGCCGGCCAACTGGAGGATGGTCAACCAGTAGCAGCCGCCCCTGCGACGCTTCCAGCGTCGGACCGTACGACCAACCAAAGATTCGGACTTTGCACGACGCACTCTGCCAACTCGCAGGCGGTGCTCGTTCGGGCGACGGCTAGCCCGCTGTATTCGCACTTTCCAGTGATGTAGGCGCCGCAAAATGTGGCATTCTGCGATACCACCGCGACGGTGACTATGGCACGTTGTGGGCGTCACACCTGCGCTATTTCCATCTTCTTTCGGCGAAAATCAAGGTCTGTCAATGCCTCGGGGCACCACAATGACCGGAGGACCGCAATCCTCCAGAGTCGCCTAGTTTCTCAACACCACATCGTCACGAGCACCATGTACTTTTCGTTATTTTGCTTTTGGGCTGATATAAGTCCTTGGAATGCTCCCAAAAAACCGGAGTAGCAAACCTTGTTCATAGACAAGTTAATGAGTCTGTTACCCAGTATTGGAGGCTTCGTAATAACGTCCTCACAATCTTCAATCACCCCGCTTCATTGTATCTTGCATCACGGTTATCGGAAGCGCTATTCGTAGACTCTGGAGAGTGCGAAATGACAAAATGATTCGAATAAATAAAAGCTTCCTTCAACAAGTGCAAATGTACGTGTTTTCTTTTTTTTTTTTTTCTTTTTTTTGCAGAAGGAAGGGGGGAGTCTTCCTAAAGCCAGAAGCATATCTGTAGCCCGATTGGTAGATTGGGCGTTTGTGTATTTGAGCGTAGAAAATAAGGGGGAATCACCAAATATGCTGCATGAACTTCGAGGAAGGTCAAGTATTGAACGACAAGAAATTATACGCAGTGACTGCATGGCCGCGTACAGCTCGGAAAGGTCACAGGTGTTGGTGTTGTTCGTTGACTGCTTCTTTGCTTCATTATGAAAAGCAATTGACCGCGGGAGTTCGTTTCTAATAAAGTATCGTCACCGAATACGCGTACGTGTGATATTTTAAAGTTTCGTCTGAGCTTAGAGCAGAAACGATTCCTGCTTCTCTCTGAAAGCCAAGCAAAGTCGATCCGCAGTCTCGGGTTTTTCAAGATGTTTCAATTTCTCCCTGGTTTATATTCTGACGGATGCGGGCGCTCACATGCAGATTAAAGACGACGTGCAGACCGCATTTTGGGCTCCTGGAGCACGTGAATGAGTATTAGCGAGGTACGCGACCAAAAGCGTCGCTGTGGTCGAAGTTCGCGATTGGACAAACCATTCCTGTATACCGATAACGCCGGCCTTATCGCCGGTTCACGGCGAGGCAAATCCTGCCAATCACGGCGAGGTAAATCCTGGTCGTGACGTCACTGAAACATCTCGGCGCTAATAGTCGGTGACAGGTTAAGAAGACAGTAGATACTCGAGCCCGAGCTTTCTGCCTTTGGTAACACTTCATCGCACGCGAAGCCCAACCCGGTGGAGGCAACAAGCTAGTGCTATACTCTAAAAAAACGTTTGTGCGTCGACTTTCACGCACAACACTCAGAGAGCCAATCGCCGCAACTTACGGAGGCAGCACAGCGAATGACGCTGTCGAAACATATGTTTAGACCAAAAAACGCATTCTGAGTTGTGACATTAAGCAATGCAAAACGTCACGCTTGCATTGCTTAATGTCACAACTCAGACTGCGTTTTTTGGTCTAAACATATGTTTCGGCATTGTCGTTCGCTGAGCTGCCTCCGTAAGTTGCGGTGATTGGCTCTCCGGGTGTTGTGCGGGAAAGCAGACTCGCGGGTTTTTTTTTAGAATGTGACTGCAAGCTATCGATACAAAAAAACTTCCTGTTGCCTAGTAAATTGTTTTACTGACGCAGGTGGGAAGAAACGCGCGCGCAAACACATACGTACACAAACACACGCACACATACAAACGAAAAAAATGACGGTCATATCAGGTTGTCATCCATCTATGCAATGCGGGATTAATAATTTTCTTCCAGAAGCCCAATAAAAAATTGAATTTTGATGCAACCAGTAGAACACGTCGAGAAAACGGATGCCGGGGGATGTCTTTCAATTTTTAGGGTGGTTTCACTTTCGTGAGTCGGCGACCGCGCAACGAGTGCACGAGAAATAGACACTTACGCAACATATCGCCCGCCGCGGCATCTGAGGCGGGAGCAGTGGCCAAGTAAAAGGGCCGGAGGGAGAAAAATGAGGGGGCGGTTTGAGCGAAATACAATCCCACGACTGACTGACATCAAATAAAGCAATATCCTAGATGAATTGCCCGGCGTCGCGCGTGGGGCATCCATAATATGATGCGCAACATATCTGCAGTCAATGTCCCTAAAGGCCCTGTCACACTGAGGCAACACGACGGCAACAGCAACACAACATGGTTGTCCAACAGTCGGGCAACTTTTAGCTCGCGCCTCGTGTTGTCCGACAAACCTGTAACATCGCGGTAACATCACAGCAATTTCTGTTGGACAGCGTACTGTTCCTGATCGCTTCCTGAGCGAATTTCGGGCCGGCAACACGACAACAGATAGCTTCGATGGCAGAGCTAGTTTCCTATCAATGACGTCTTACTTAAAAAAAGACTTCAAAAGCGTTATTTAACAATAATTAAGGCTGGCGTGCAGCTAAAATAATTTGACAGATGTTTGTGCTGCGTAATTACGGAAAGCGATTGTCGAAATGCATGGTCACAGCTACGGTCGTGAACGTTCAGACTAGTGTTGAAATTAGAACTGCCGAGAGGCCAGCTCACATTACCGCTAGTGAAATAAAATAGCATGCCTATTCACCCACTCATAACGTATATTAAAAATAATCCAGAATAGCAAAGATTAAAACATAGAAGCATTAAAACGACCACTCTGATCATGATTGTTGATGCTTATGCCGGTGTCCCACTAGAGCGACAGACAGAGACAAACGACAGCGACAAGCCTCAAACCAGAGTATTTCGCGATTTGAGAGGTTTGTAAAATAAAGGAGGCTAATCTCAAATACGAGCATCATGCACGCGAGCGTATCTTTGACAGGCTTGCAATCGCTCTTGCTTACTTCACGAGCACCGAACGACTAAACGCCTGCCAAAGGTACCATCGCGAGCATGCTGCATGGGTTTAAGGCTTGTCTCTGTCTTTTGTTTCTGTCTGTCGCTCTGGTGGGACACGGGCATTAGAACTTGGAAACAGCCGCTACAAGGCACCTGATTTGTTTCTAAAATACCCAGGACGCTTTGGGGAATGAAGCGATCGCATAGCAGGCGGTATGCAAATAGACAGTGTTGAAAAACATTTATTCCACCGATTGTAATGAAGGCCGATCGTGTCGGTGTCGCAGTTTTAAAACACTGTCAGTTCAGCTCAACACCCCGCTACCAAAAGACGCTTTAGGCTACTGCCGGTGCTAACTCAAATTCACAGTAGAAATAGGATTCCACCTTTTTAGGAAATCACCGGTTCGAGATTTTTGGGCAGATAACGCGCGTGCACACCACGAGCGCTCTCGCGAGATCTCGCTTGAAAGCATGCCATGGTCGCTCGTGAATTCATAGAACGCGAACATGTGTTTTCATGTCAGAAACTCTGGAACCATGATTACTAAAGAGGTAGAAAGAAAGAATCTGAGAAAAAAAACTTCATACGATGGTGTTAATCCCGAACATATATCAGCGATCTCACTTTCCTGCATTAGGGCCGGCTATCTGCTTTGTCAGCGAGTGAAGAACATTTTGATAAAATAAAGGGCGAAAAATACTCCCCGTATCAAGTTTTTTAATCACAGTCACTAGATGCTGTCGTCCCGTGGTAATTTCCGGCCTTTCGGACTCACCAGCACTTTGTAGAGTCACATTTCCAGCGACGCCGCGCCGCACACGAACGAAGGTAAACAATCAAGATGGCGGAGTGTTCTCCGTGTTGCACCCGCCATCAGCACGGTGTGACCGGGTGGTCGGACGAAAAATCGGCCAACGCGGTTGCTGAGCGGCAGCAAGATGTTGCCCGACTGTTGTTGTTACCGCGATGTGACAGGGTCACCGGCATCACGATTTCCTCGTGTTGCCGGATAGAGTACCCCTATGCGTCAAGAAACTGGGGGAGAGGAGAAGACGAGAGCACACAGGGGCGTCAGAACGCCGAGCTCTGATTCGAATGATTAGTGGGTAGACCGAAAGCTAGCTGCCTTTGTCAATGACCCGTGCGCCGCGATATGCCGGCGGAGTGGTTGACAAAGCGGCGAATGAAACAGACTTTTTAAACAAACAGAGGCTGGTGATGCGGCGTCGACTGGAAGGAGGCGGGAGTCTTGATTCAGATTTTAAGGATGATATGCTGGTAATGTATGAAAATGAAGAATGAAGGAACCGAGTAGGCTTCAAGTTCATTGATTTGGTGTGGGCTCCAGATTGCAGACGCCTATTCTAGCTTTGATCGGATAAGTGATGCAGACTTCGTAGTTCAACTATATACTCTACTCAAGTTACTGTAGTTTAACCGCTTTTCTGAGTAGTTTAGTAACTTTCAATTGCATTTCATTTTGGTAATTAGTATTTTACTGTAATTACTTTTTTTCGAGTAACTTCTACTCAAATGACAAATTACTTTGAATTTTAGTGGTAGGTTTGCTTATCAACAAACATTCCTGCACAAAAAGAAAAAAGATGTTGGAAGATCAGCTGATATTTGCAAAGAGGGGGAAGCATGCTTCGTAGGCAGGGGGGAGGGGGTGGTTTTGGAGGGTCCGGAGCCCCTTAAAATCTTGAAAAGCAGTCCACTGCAACAACCCTGCTACGAGGCACGGGGAGCGAACAGACACGTCGCAAGGGTGGCCGAGGAACTGCGGGCTTAGCGCCGAAGACTGACGGTTCTTTGTGTCCCGAAGCTCAAGGATACTTGCGGCATTTGAAGAAAGGGCTTTTCCCCGCTTCTCTTCAGCGTAAGAACTCTCGCCCACGACAGTAGGTGTACACACTGCATCCTCATTCAAAGGAGACAACAAAATGCAGCACCCGCTTTGAAGCTCATCTGCTGCTCCTGCAGTGTGTGCTGTACTCGAAGAATTGCGTGCTAAAGGGCAATGCAAAGGTGACCTTTTTGCGTTGTCTTTCAGCCCGAAACTCACAATAGGCAGATCTTCCAAGATTCCAAGATCATTCGAGAAACTTTAATAATTCTCAAAACGTTTTTACATAAAAAAAGAGTAAACAAGCAGTGTTGGAACGTACCTTTTTGTATATTGGGCTATGGTATTACTTCAATTAGGTTGAGAAACTTGTACTTTACTTGAAGCATATTTTCTGCACATGTACTTGTACTTTACTATAAAGTTTTTTTTTTGTGTGTGTTTTCCGAGGAAAGCACAACTCCCGACTTCAAAGTACATTCAAAGTACAAAGCCCAAATTTGAAAACAGAAATTGACGTATCCTCATGTGAAAACGCGCTATCGTCTTACGAGACGTCATCGGGCCATTTCTCTGAGTGAAGAAATGGCGACATTAAGACCGATACAGATAAGTGCTTCATAAGTGTATTGTGTTAAATAGCTCGTCAGCGAGAGTTCAACAACTACCCTGTGGCGACTTGAATTTATCCAATTTTTACCGCCATTTCCGAAAAAAGCTGATGCGTCACCGATTACCCTGGAGC